AAAAAAAAAAAAAAAAAAAGACAAAATTATTCGTACCTCTGTTGTTGCCTTTTACATTTAGTTTTTGGGAAAAAAAACTGTAAAAAAGCTGAGAGAACAATAAATAGAATACCACATAAAAAATATAAATGCAAATGAGCAAATGTGCATAAGATGAAAATGAGTCTGTTTACCACTGTACACGTAATCCTGCACAACTTAAAATACTCCAAATGAGCTGGATATTTACAAGTCAATGAGCTATTGTGAAGGGCTGCATTGTTTCCAGCTCTGGCTAGAGCCCACTTCGTAACATTTGGAAGGTAATTTTTTCACTAAAAATTTTCCAATTGGAAAACTACAACCCCAGACATCTATGAAGTTGGTTAATCTGTACAGAGAGGCTATTCTGCTGCCAACCTTTGTACCATGAGCACCACCAGTCCAAGTTCAAGATTCACATTTTATGGTCTGAAGACACTTTCGGCTAACCCTTAATAATATTAATTTTTAAAACTCTCAAAGTAATTATATTTAGATATGTTGCATCTACACCACCAGAGAGCAAAAGCAAATGAAACTTTTATGCAACCCGTACAAAGGAGTCTACTAAGCTGAGGCAACGGTTCCCCACTAATATCTGTAGATGAGGGTTTAAGCATCTCTCCACCACATACTTTAAACCACATAAAATGTAATGCACTTTTTGAAACTATGTGGAAATATCTCTGAGATATCCTAGCAATAACTCTATCAAATTACTTCCTACTTAATATAAAATTCCAGAGTTTGAGCACTTTGATCGGTTCAAGGAGTTTTGGAGATAAACAGAGTAATTCTTGTTTAGCAATCTATCAGTAAATTAACATACTCAAGGTAGTGGACCACCTAGGGACTAAAAATAAAGCATTAGAAAGTCCCGACCTGGCCTCCTACATGATTAGTCTACTAAACGGCATCATTTGATCTTCATATCTCAGAACAAACCGGATTCTTGCTGGACTAACTTGGAAGCGTGTTTACAAAAGAGAAAATAAAACTTCCACCGAGCGTCCAGCCAGAGACGGACACCTGAAGGCTCTGCTTCTACCCGGGAGCAGAGACACACGCAGAGGTATCTCACGACGAGGAACCCACGGAAAGACACTCTCGTCTCTCCGGGGACAAGAGGCCCGACCCGAGCCCGGACGGCCGAGGCCCCGGCCCCGACGCCGCGCGGCGCGGTCCGGACACTCACCGCAGCGGGAGCGAAGGCAGGTGCGCGGCGGCGGGGCTACCTGTCGCCGGTGAGGCCGGAGGGAGGGGCGGGACGCGAGACGGCGACAGA